TTAGAGAGCATTGCTTAATCGGTGAAATGGGTTTGTTTGTTGTGGCAGTGTGATATTCGGGGTAATGCTCATGGTCTGTTATCTTCACACCCAATTGCACCGTTTGTGTCCGTTCACCATGTTGAAGCTGTTGACCCTTTCTATCCTGGCTTCTCCTCTCTACAAAGCTTGAAGCTTTTTACACAGGCAATGAGACTCCAACCCACCAGCTTTTTGCAGCGGTCTATTTGCTATGATCGTAGACGCCGTCTCACATTCTCAGTCTCGGTTGGTTATGTGGTTCAAGTATTCCCAAGCATTGTGCTCCCTCGTGACCTTGAGCGCTCTGAGCATACTTACTCTGCTTGGAATGGGATAAGTCACAGGAATGAATTCGATTTCGATACCAAAGACCCTTATAGGTCTGTCTGTAAGAAGCCTATTCTGTTCTTCTTGAAAGATGTTACGAAACAGGGGAATGCTACATTGGGCTCATATGTCCGGCCTCGAGCAAAAGACGATTTCAAGAGGAAAGTTCTCTGCTTTCCCCGGTTCAGAGTTTTGCGCAATCTGCGGAAAATTCAGGTTTTGGGATATCCACTCACCAAGAAATGGCATCTGGTGTGTTTCTTCACTCAGTTGTTTTTGCCATATGCACAGAGATTGATTTCTTGACATGTCTGTTCTAGTTTTATTGATTAGTGATATATTGAATTCCTTTGCACAGGTACCACGACGTTTATGTTGCAAACTGAACCAAACAAGTGAGGAAGTCCTTAGATTAACAGTGGGGCAGTGTGCTAAGGGAGATTTTGGCTCTATTACTGATTCTAAATGAATATGTCAAGGATGTTTGCAGTGGGGTATACTCTCAATCAATTTGGATTTTGGACACGAGAATCACTTGCCGCTATCTATTCGGCTGACCTCCAGCAAATTGAAAACATTTGCTTGCAGATATGAGAATGCTTCATTGTAAACAGAAAAGTTGAAGACAAGCTTGCCAACCTACGGCTCGGGTATTACATTCTTTGCCTTCGATTTTGTTCAGAAGGTATCTAATCATAAATTGAGATCGAACGTCTCCTGGCTGATTAAGTGAGACAAACAGTAGTTGTTCGAAACTTTGATATGCAAATTAGTAAACCCTAATGAACCTGTGTGCTGAGCTGCTTCTAATCTTTTACTCGTTTTTGTAACTCAAGGCGAAGGGTTGAATGGATTTGATGTGACCGAATTACAAAAAGTTGTGAACATGCTAAGCATTTCTTACCGCGTTCATGGAGCTGTTTGAGTGAGGAAAATTAAGTCAAAAGTTATGCCTGCTGCCTTGAAAATGATGTAATAATGATTGAATTTACAGGCCATTAGATTGAGGGACGGTTGGACTTTCTTGTTGATTGACCGTCAAGACTTGTAAATATTCAGAAAATTACAGGTGGGGTAGACTTCATCTCTGGACTGGATTGCGCCGAGGCACCTCAATATTTTTGACCTTTTTGGTATCCCATGGCGGTGCCTCGCTGGCTAGTTGGTCATGGCCCACGATTGGGGTTGTGGGGCCCATGTTGAAGTGAGTTATAACAGTAAGCCTAGATTTAGACTAGTTGGTATAGTAGGCCCAAATAGGTTTTTAGATGTGGCCTAATGTTTTATATTTTTCACCTTCATAGCTGCAGAAGTGGAAACCAGAAATGCATATCAATTTTGTTGGGTACCTCTCAATGTAGGAACCCTAGGTTTCGTTTCGTTTGCTAGCAAATAAAAAATAAAAAAAATCATAATAATTGTAAAAGAGCAATTTGTTGGTCCCTAGAGATAGTAGAGTAATTTTCATTTTTAGTAATAAGGAAAGTTCCCTAGGGATGCTATGGTAATTCCAATTTCTAGTAATATACCTTTTCTTTCCAAATGCCTATTTGGAGGAAAGAAACGAAAGACGTTACAGGGACCCGTGGGAGTAAAAATTGAGTTGCAAGTTGCCGGATTTGTGTTACAACTAAAGGTCAGTAGGTCTTGAGTTCGACTTGCATCGAATTCATTGATTTGTGCCCGAAAATACTGAGTTGGTTTTTTGTTGCCCTTATTATCATGTAGAAAGGGAAACAAGTGAATTCTAAAGCTTTGTCACATACATTTTTTGCTTTTTTATCCAAGAATAAAAGCAAACACAACACACTATTGTGTGTCTGAGGGTAGGTCAGTGTAAAAACAAGCTAAGATAGGAGAGAGCATGTTAGGGTCCAGCTCAGAGGTGAGAAGTAAGATATAGAGGGGGGATTAAAAAAATTGAAATTAATAATATATATATAAGTGGTTAAAAATAAAAAAGAGAAAGAAAAAAAGAAAAGAGAAGAGGAGCAAGTGGCATGTGCAGTGATCGGGGGTCATGGGGTAGATGCCAGGCAGTTAGGGGTTTCTAAAATCCGGGAGAAACGCCACGCACGTTCCACCCCTCCCTCCCCTCCCCTCATCCTCTCATGTATTGGGCCCCTTTCTACAGCTGTGCCAATCTGTTCTTGTCTCCCCCTCAACCTAAAATTGCTTAATGCTCTTCTCTTCTCTTCTTTACCCTCTCTTCTCTCTCTTTCCCCAAACTCCTATCTCATCATTCTTTCACTCACTTACCCATCCACCTCTGCTTTTTTGAAATTTTGAATTTCTACTTTTTTTTGGTTGATTGAATGTTCGGACACAGTTGACAAATTGATAACATAACATGTTACACTAAGTACACGTGGTTCCTGAACGTTCAATTGACAGATTGATAACATAACATATTAGACTAACTACATGATTATTTGCAGTCTCTTTTTTTGTCTGCCTCAAAACTTCAACCTAGTGCTTTATCCACGTGGGTTTCTTTCGCCCACGTATTCTTTTTCTTCCATGGCATGATTTGGTGATTATATTAGTTGATTCAACATTTGAACACAATTGACATTTTAATAACTTAACATGTCAGACTATAACCAAGTGGTTATTTACGACCTCTCTTATTGCCGGCCCCAAAACTTCAACCTAATTCTCTATCCCACATGGGTTTCTTTCACCCACATTTCTTTGTACTTTTTCTTGTTTTTCTATTGCATGATTTGGTGATTCTATGGTTTGGAACAAACTAAACAATGCTACTACTCCATTTTAATATAAGTGCCGCTACCCTTTTCTTGCATGGGCATCCATCCATGTTACAATCCCGTGGTCTACATGTAATAACATTTTCATGTTAGCAACATAATGGTTACCATGTGAGAGTAGCCAATTGTTCCTTACCTATTCGTTAGGGCAAAACAAAAGAAAGAAAGAAAAAAAATTAAAAAGGTCCACTTCTAACTTGTTGTTATATATATATATTTACTAAAAAGAATCACATGCAGCGAATCGAAAACTTGTTGGACAAATAATATCACAGAATAAGATCCCTTAATTAATCACCATTTATATAAAAGTCACCAAATTAATTTGGGGAGAGTTTTAATTTTGAAACTCTCTAGCTGGCTCATTAACTCTAATACCTTTAATTTGTTTTAATTAACATATAAGCAAATGCTACATCATGCATGCATACATGCATATACATATATAGAAATTCTCATGTACGGACATCCGGACGTTATTATCGATATCCCTTCTTGTTTTCATGCTTGTTTATAATAGTCATGATTGGTAGAATGATATATGGATATTAGGGTTTTGCAGGATGATGAAAGAGAGTTGAAGGATGAGAGTGAGAGCGTGTGATGTGGCCCACAGAGTGTTAATGCGATTAAAAGCTGGATGTATATACAAATGGGGAAAATGGGTTACCAGTTGAGGCTTTTTGTTTGTGTGAATGGAAAAAGGGTTTAAAAAAGGAAAGAATAAGCTGCAACAGGAGTTGTGCGCTGTCAATTCGTGTTAATTTTAAGCATATATAATTAATTGCTGCTGGCATTGTTGGTGTAAAATAGGTCTCTTAAATTAAATAAAAAATTAAAAAATTAATTTATATGTATTTATGATGAATTCCATCGGCCTCCCTACGGGCTCCAATCACATGGGACTTATTGAGCATGTCAGATGGGAGATGGGGCCGACAAAGCTTTGTTTAAACTAAAGTCATCTGACAACATCACAGGTCCTCCAAGCCCTCCTCCCTCCAGGCTAATTCAAAGTTTCGATGTGGGATTAAAATTTCCTCCCTCTTTTCTCTCTCTTTCTATCATTAGCAAATAGTCACTTTATTCATTTTTAATTCTATCATATAAATATATAAATATATATATATATATATATATATATATATATGTAGAGGAGAGGAGGAGCGTCTTTTATAATTTAATTGGTAAGGTAAAGATAAAGATTAAAGATTAATAAAGCCGCAGATCTTAGAGTATTTGTGTGGTTGGGTTGGATTTAAACTAGGGTTAGGTTTGATGAGAGTGTGCCGATCATATTCTGATTCCTGTGCTAATTAGTGTGCCTCGACAATTTGGGTTTGTTCCAGCTCAAAAAATTTGTACTAGAAGGGTGTCATCAATTTGAATGTAAGCAAAGCAAATTACCAAAAGGAATATGCTACTGCCCTCGTAGTCGCATGTATGCAAAATTTCATACGATACTATTTATGCACGCGTGAACGACTGTTGATAACACAGCTCGGAGGGTAGAAAATTGGAGAGTGAGGGAATTGAGGGGAAGGGCCAGAGGTTATAGTAAAAGTTAAAGCAAAGTCCAATTGTACATGGCCACAAGCACAGAGAGGGATTGTTGGGTCAATTCAATATGACATTATTGGAATGGCAAATAAAAGATGGCCCTGGACTGGATTTTTATTCCTAAAGATGGATGTGAGAGTTGCCAAGCTCTGCCTGCTGCCCCCTTGGTCATTTCACTTTGAGTTTTCTTTTTTATTATTATTTTTCTTTTTTGGGTGTCACTGTATTAGATAATATTATTATTAATAATTTAAGGAAAAAAAGAGAGTAAAATATGGTGGTAAATGGTTTTGACAATTATTAGCAGCAAAGTGAGAGCCGCTGACAACATAGCATCTCTTCAAGTTTTATCTCTCTTCTCTCTCTCTCTCTCTCTCTCTCTCTCTCTTAATCATCATCATCTCCCTCATAATCGTCATCTCTCCATTCATTCATTTCTTTCTCTCTCTTTCTCTTTCTTCATTTATCTCTCGCCCCCCACAGCCCATCCACTCTTTCTGTCTTTTCTTTTCTTCTTTGTCTGTCATTTTTTGCAGGCAGAGCGCAGCAGGAGAGAGTGCAGTTGAGATGGGGATGATGATGATGATGCCCTCCTTCTCCTACTCAACCATATTTCTTTCTTCTTTACTGCTTCATCTTTTTCCTTAATTATTATCATTTTTGTTTTCTGTTTTTTATATTCTTTTTCCTTTTTTATTTTCTGTTGGTTTAAGTAAACAAAAACAAAGGAATAAAAATCAAATCTGAATGAAAGACTGGAGGTGAAGGCCAGCACTAACTCATAGGAATTCACTTTCTGCCTTTCATCTTTCCAGTTGTCTAATCTCTTCCCTTTTGCTTCCTCCTTCTCTTTCACCAAACCTCCCCTTTTGCTCCCACTTAAATTTCCCTCAATATCACTCATTACCCTCCTCTTCTCTCTCTCTCTCTCCATTTTCTCTCTCTCCTCTTTCACCCAACCAGGAGAAAGAAGAAGAAGAAGAAGAAGAAGATCTACCGTTTAATGCAACCCCACCCCACAGTACAAGGACTTACAGCAAACACTTCATTGCCCAATTGGGCACATGAATTATCCACAATTTTGAAGACCCACTTGTGCTTTTCGGAGAATTGAGAAACCCATTTTCTCAATTTTCTCAATTCCCAATATCAAATATGCAGCAAGGAGCTGGAGGGGCCCAAACCCATTATGGAGTTGGGGCAGCTGAAGACATGGGAGCTGCTGCTGCTGGTCCTTCTTCTTCTTCCATGGCAGCCGCAGCAGCAGAAGCTGGAGACCAAGCCCAGCTAGTAGAAGCAGCCTCGCCAATCAGCAGCAGGCCTCCTGCTTCCGCCTCTGTCAATCTGGACGAGCTCATGACTCTCTCTGGAGCAGCTGCTGCAGCTGAAGACGCTCTCGCTGGTTCGAGAGACGAAGCAGATCGCGGTGGCGGTGGCGTTGGGTCCAGTGGGAACAGGTGGCCGCGTCAAGAAACCTTGGCCCTTCTCAAAATCAGGTCAGAGATGGATGTGTCCTTCCGCGACGCCACCCTCAAAGGTCCCTTGTGGGAAGATGTTTCCAGGTAATAATTACTAATAATAATTAACAAAAACCTCAAATCAAAAATTATATTTTTCTTTTTCTTCTGATTTTCAGCATTTTTGGCATTCCCAATATTGATTATTGATGGGTTTTTGCAAAATTCCTTTCTTGAAAACCAAAAAAAGAAAAGAAAAAAGAAAAGGAAAAGAAAAAAAAAAGGGGAAGAAATGATTTGATTTCTGCAAATATACATACACAGCCAGCCAGCCGCACATGGGACATGGGGGCTTCTATCTCTTTCCATCACGATTCACGAGTTGGGCATCTTTCTTTCTTTCTTTCTTTCTTTTCCTTCTTGGAATATAGAGCGGCTCAGATCCACTGCATGACTTGTACCCAATCCCCCCTATCCCTCCCTCCTCTCTCTTTTTTGTTTTTTCTCTCCTTCAAAATATATTTTTATTACCCAAAAAATTTGAAAATCCCGATAAGATTTCCCCTCATCATAATTATAATATAGTAAAATTTTTCCCACTCTTTTCTCTCTTAACCCCTTATTATAATGCTTCTAATTTTCCACTATAGACAGTTAATATTACATTAATCTATAGGAGAGATAGAGACCAAGTGAGGGACCATTGGGAGGGGGAGGGGGGGAGCCTGGATTGTTCTCTCCCCTCTCATTTTTCTTCTTTCTCTTTTGTCTTCTTCCAACTCAGGTCCTAGTTGGGAATATGATCAGGATCACGATTTAATTATTATTATTTTTTTTATACAAGCGATATTCGCTATCGGGAATTTGAACACATGACTTCGGTAGGAACTCGAATATAAAATATAATATTTCTTTTTATAAAGATTTTATAATATTGTAGCAGTGAGAGTGAGTGCATGGTTTCGTACACATTGTGCAGGAAGCTAGCGGAGTTGGGGTACAAAAGAAGTGCCAAGAAATGCAAGGAGAAATTCGAGAACGTGCACAAGTATTACAAGCGGACGAAAGAAGGCCGCGCGGGTCGTCAAGACGGCAAGAGCTACAAGTTCTTCAGTGAGCTGGAAGCTCTACACGGCACCACTGCCGCCACGTCCTCAGTCAACATGTCAGCCTCTCCCGCTGTCCACGTCACCCACGCTTCCCCTAATCCGGTTTCTATCGGTTTCAGCAACCCCATGCCCATCTCATCCTTCAGAATGTCACCCACAATTCCCGTAATGCCCTCCCAACAACCTCCCGCTACATTTCCAGTAATGCCCTCCTCCCAACCGCCACCGACAGCAGCAACAACGGCCACTCCAATGGACATAAACTTTTCCTCCAACAGCTCTTCTTCGTCCCCGGGGACCGACGACGAGGACGACGATGATGACGTGGAAGGAGAGCCTTCGAGTCGAAAACGGAAGAGAGGGGGTGCTAGTACTAGCACCAGCGGCAGCGGCAGCACCCGAAAAATGATGGAGTTTTTCGAGGTTCTGATGAAGCAGGTGATGCACAAGCAAGAGACCATGCAGCAGAGGTTTCTAGAAGTAATAGAGAAGAGGGAGCAGGACAGGACCATAAGGGAAGAGGCGTGGAAGCGTCAGGAGATGGCTCGGCTGACTCGGGAGCACGAGCTCATGAACCAAGAGCGAGCCATCTCAGCGTCCAGAGACGCCGCCATCATCGCTTTTCTGCAGAAAATTACTGGTCAGACTATCCAACTACCTCCGCCCATCAACGTCCACGCCGCTCCGCCGCCACCTGTCCCTCCGTCGGTGCCGGTTGTCACCCCGTTGGCTCAGCAATCGGTCCAGCCGCCGATACAGACATCGTATCATCAAACGACTCCGCAGCAACAACACGCGCAACAGGTTCGTCACCATCAGCAGCAGTCGCAGAATCTTCAGGTGGTGATGGCTGTACCGGAGCAGCAGGTGCAGCCGCCGCAAGAGAATATTTCTAGCGGAGGAGGAGCAGGAGGGAGCTTAGAACCGGCGTCGTCTTCGAGATGGCCCAAGGCGGAGGTGCTTGCACTGATAAAGTTGAGAAGTGGGCTCGAGTCGAGGTACCAAGAGGCGGGGCCGAAGGGTCCACTTTGGGAGGAGATTTCGGCGGGGATGGGGCGGATGGGGTACAAGAGGAGTTCCAAGAGATGCAAAGAGAAATGGGAGAACATCAACAAGTACTTCAAGAAGGTGAAGGAGAGCAATAAGAAGCGGCCCGAGGATGCGAAAACATGTCCATATTTTCATGAACTTGATGCTCTTTACAGGAAAAGGATACTGGGCGGCGGCGGTGGAGGCGGCAGCAGCAGCTCATTGGGTAACCAGAACAGGCCAGAACAACCACAACAACAGCCACTGCAGCTGGAGAACCCGAAATCAGATTCGGCAACGCAGCCGCAAGATAGGAGCTTACAGGCCCAACCAAGTGTGCCTGTAATGTCACAAACACAAGAGGCAGTGGTAGCTACTGATCAATCAGAAAACAAGAACGGAGATCATAGTGCAAATGTGGAAACAAGTAACATGGGTTTGAGAGCAAATCTCTTTGGAGAGGCAACAGATGAGGCAGCCAAGAAGGTAAAGTTATTCCATATAATGCTTAGCCAAGAACATTTGTTATAGGGAGCACCAAATTTGTTGAACAAAATTTGATGTGACAAAATGATGTATTCATTTTATTTGTTAGAAATAAATGAGATTTAATTAAACTGGGCGCACATTATTTTGGCGAACAGAAATTTGTAAACAATTTTGATGGGTATATATTTATCACTTAGCTCTTATATATGCTGATTATTGTGTTTATATTTGAAGCCAGAAGACATTGTGAAGGAGTTGATGCAGCAGCAGCAGGTGCATGATCATCTTCAACAAGGGGTACATCAATTAGCGGTAGACGACTATGATAGGATTGAGGAAGCCGATAGCGACAATATTATGGATCAAGATGAGGACATGGAAGACGATGATATCGATGAAGAAGACGATGATGAAATGGAAGAAGAGAGGAAGATGGCTTATAAGATAGAGTTTCAGAAACAGAACACAACAGGTCCGTCCTCTAATGGGGGAGGCAATGGGGCTCCCTCATTCTTGGCCATGGTTCAATGAGTGCATGAGAATGAGAAAAGAATATGCATTGCATGGCCAAACTTTACTGTACCATATGTACGTATCTACTTCCTGTTCAGAAAAATCAGAAGCAGCTCAAGTAAGATTATACCTCACATGATCACATCTACCTGAGCAGTTGGAAATCCTGATAGCATATATTTCTTCCAATTTCTTTTCTTTTTATAATTTGTTTTCTTAAATTTCTTTCATTCTCCTTTGCTCATCACCCAATTCATCATCTTCTTCTGATTTTTGTTGTTCCTCTTGATCTTCTTCTTCTTCTTTTTTTTCTACTTCTTGGGTAGGATAGCTTTTCTGAGATGAATTAATATCTTGGATTAGTTTTCTTCCAATTTATTGATTTATTGGTGAATAAAAAACCGTTTCAAGGGAAAAAAACGGAAGGGGGATTGGATTAAGACACAGGAAAAATAAGCTGCTTGCTCTAAAATTTCAAGCAGCAGCATCTTCATAAGAAGAACAAAACAAAGCCCGGAAAAGAGAGGGAGAAGAAGTGACAGTCTCATCAGAAGCAGAAGCAGATGATTCAGCAGTATTCTTTTTTTACTTTTATTTATTTATTTTTGTTCTTGTTAATTAAGCTTTCCTTTTACTTCTTCTGTAACTTGCTTGGTTTATTTGAATGAATGAATGAACAAGCTGGGCTCTCTAGAATTCATCTTCCCTATTCAAATTCTGCAATAACCCCATTATATATATATATATTTTATCTTCCTATTTTCCATAAACTTTCCACAAAATGTATATCTGTGATCTATTATCTATTATCTATTCTCTGGGAGTCTGGTGTGATGTGAAACTGAAAAAGTTGCAGATAAAGATGAGCATGGTGATAAAAACAACCAGATAATTCATTTATGGTAGTCAGACAAATGGGCTTATTTATTTTTATCTACAACTTGCGTCACTGATGCCAGCTAAATGGTGAGAGAGAGAGAGAGAGAGAGAGAGGTTTTTCACTTTCAAGTAGGACTTTTTTGAGAAATATGGGGCTTTCAGCTTTTAGCTTTCTGCTTTGGCCGAACATGTGGTGGTGGGAGTGTTAGGCATTTGGCTGCTGATCGCCACGTCAGCTGATAACAGGATTTACACATAGCTGTATCTGCACTCTCAATCTTGTAGCCCATTATAGCCCAGTTGTTTTGATGCTGTTGTTGTATCCCAAAGGGTTGACTTGCTCATCTTAATATAATCACTTAATTACCTGTAATTTGATAAGAATCTTGTTTAAATCTTTTATTAGTTTTGCTTCTGTTATTGTTAATTATCTGAAGTCAAGGATGACATGTTTTTCACAGACTTGAGGCCATCATTTTGATTACTTGTTCTCATCAACTTCTTAATCACCTCCTCTTCTTTAACAAAACCAATTCATCTCATAATTAATCTTAAACAACTTGAACCACCTGCTACACTTCTCAAATCTCATGATTCGTTGTATCCCACATGCCACATGCCATTTCTCTTTCACTTTTCAAGTGTTCGGGTAATAATGAGTCTGAAATTATACAGCACCTCTTCACAAAATAAGTCATTCATTGGATCGGACTCAACATTATTAATAATTGACTGGTGTGTTTGATGATATGAACTTAGTTACGTTGGTTAAATCAGATGTGTTCTTCACTCTATATCTGAGTTCGAATTCCTCTCCTCGTAATTTATATTAGATTAAAGTAGAATATCGTTTGTAGTGATGAGTGTTTATTTTTCTTTCGATGCTTGACGGGGCTACGCTAAATAAATAATTATATAAGCACATACCTCATAATCTCAAAGTAGAAATACATAAAAGAAGTTCACTAAATACATACACAGCACATGGGCAAAGAGGTTTGCTTGGTTGGTGTGGGTGGAAGGATGAATTATTAACACCTAATTAATGGAGGTCCCCAGGCTGTATTCTTTTCTCGTTCTGCATCCATCAAGTAATAAAGGTTGAAGGAACCAGGGAACAAGTATGTAATAAAGTTTGAAGAATACATGCATCTTCATTTAGGTGCATACATTATTATTATAACAAATAAATAAACAATTTAACATGACAGAGCAGTGTATAATTGAATTGATTCTCGTATCCAAAAATAAAAATAAAAATTGAATTGATTCTTTCTTGTTTTCCAAGTTGATTACATGGTAAGTCTTTCTACACACTACATTGTTGGATCAAAATGATGCTTTAATAAACAAATAATTACAGACGTAGGTTATGACAGTTAGTTACGATAATGAATTTACGTTCCTTGTATCTGAATTCGAATCCCGCTTCATGTAAATTTTCGAATCTCTCTCCATATAAATTTGATTAAATTTAAATAATATCACTTGTATCGAAAAAGTTTGTAAATAATAGGTTATTTTATTCAATATTTGATGATGGCATGGCGTCCTTTCTAAGTTCCAATTTGAAGATGAAGTCCATGAATGAAGTGAAAGTGGTGTGATGAGATTCCTTCCTTTTGCATCACGCACGTGTACTGTCTGTCTGTCTGTCTACCCTATCACTTTTCTGCTTTCATCAAACTCATCAACGTCGTCATCGGTAACAAAAGATTTGTACCCTGTTTTTTCAGTCACTTTATTTTCCTTTTTACTGCTCCAATTTGTTTTTTTTTATTATTCATGGCCAAAATTACTAGCTTGCAGGGTAAGCGTCATAGCTGCAGACTGGTAACTAAGAACTATTGAAGGAAACCAAAAACAGAAAGAACCTTTTATGGAAACATGGAGAAATTTCGTTACACAATAATTCTCAAAGATTGTAGTAAAATACATGCTTGTATTATATTCAAATTTTTATTCAACACAAAAATGTTATAAGGAATCCTTTGATTAAAAAAATAATAAAAATATAAGAAATCTTAATTCATTTATGTAACTCTACTCTTATGTATAATGATTTATCATACGCATATATGTCTCGGGTCTCCTTTCAATATCACCATAGGTGTTAGCAACCCTCTAGGGATTAGGATGATGAATTATGGATTATGTTAATCCTAACGACTCTAATGCAAAGATGCATGTGAGTCTCACATACACTAAAGTTGATGATCGTAAGTATGCATCGACAGTTGATGATGATCGTAAGAATGCATCTATAGTTGATGATCGTAATGACTATCAACTGTGGATGCATGTTGATCGTAAGAATGCATCGATAGTTGATGATCGTAATGACTATCAACTGTGGATGCATGTTGATCCCACAATGGTGATTGTCTCTTTAAATGGAGGGGTGCTTTACAATCTATATCCGTGAGCAGCCAACAGAAGAAAATTTATGCGTGTAGAAGGGAAGGGAATGCAGGAGAATATGGGCCAAGTATCAAACTAAGTCAAAAACGTATCGAAGTTTTATGCTTCTCTTCCAAATGATTCACGGCCAGACTCATAAATTGATAAAAAAGACCAATTCTACATTCATAAAAAGCTCAAAATGAAAGGCAATTTCCACTGCCTCAGTGTCAAAACATCTTCTTTTGATAAACAGAGACAACGTTACAAAAATGAGTTCCTAAGGAGCTTCAGGGTGATTAATCCTAGTATTCAGGGTCGCCCTTCCCAACTACAAATCCTGCTTGCTCTTAGATCTTTTCATCTTTGCCTTAAACCTTGACTTCACCATAAGCGTCTGTACCGTATTTACAAAGTTCCCAACTGCCATCAAAACTAGCAGTACGCCGCAAAAACTTACCTGCAAAACATATATTTCCCATTACATATGCAATGATAGATATGATTCTCCTACTGAGTAAACTACTACACCAAGTTCTCTTGATCTTCAGTGAAAATGTCATATTAGCCCTCCTGGAAATCACAGAGCTCCCCACTTTTAGTGGGGATTTTAGGAAAACCTTTTGTATTGCACGTCCGCTTGCTTGTTAAGTCCAAGAAAAGCTTTATAATATTTTTCAGATTAGGAATAAAGTTACATTTTCGTTTGGTTAAACTTTGACAGTCACAGCGACAGGAGAGAGAAAAAAAATACAAATATTGAAGCATCTGATAATCTTTCAAAACCCATTCTTTAAAAAATCACTTATGTTTTGGTTTAAAAAAAAAAAATCAGGTAGAAAAGAAACAGGACAGTTGGCAGAGAATCATAAAAAATAGAATGAAGAGGGGGGGCTATGTGTAATCTTTCATTTTTATTCTTGTTCACATAAATCAGAGAAACCTTCTAGCACAAATTACCTGCCATTCAGAAGCAACGCCAACCAAAGCAGTCTTAAGCAATTGTAGTCCGACATATGCCTCAAAACCCTAAAACAACGTAAGCACAAACAATTATTCAGCTATAATTGCATTCAAGTCATTGGGTTTGATATAGAATAAAGATCTGGAGCAGACCAAGCTTGGTCTGGATTGCATTTCAATGCAAGAAAGAATCACTGCTTCCCACCCACCCACTTTCAAAACACACATAGATGCACTTGCAACACAGGTCAGCCTATTTCAGTTTATCTGAGTTGTAGCAGTCCAACCCCAACCTTGTATGAAGGCATGGATAGGTCATGCAACCTATCATTTTAAAGAAAATTCTCACATGAATTTCTATGGCCTATGATTTTTCTTCACCAATCATTCAGCTGGATGTCTCTCAAAACTTCTAAAAGGCATAATAATGAATTTGATGCAGACAAACCATCAGTTAATCAGGTTGCATTTAGCACGAGTTAACTCATGTATCTATTTGCCCGTGAGCTCTAGCTCAAGTGGCATTGGGGTAGTTCAAATTCTGCTGTATGTAAACATAATCATGTCCACTAATCTCTTTTAGGAAAGATGGCAAAATGTTGCCTAATCACCTGCAATATAAACAGTATTGGACATAGAAGCCACAGTTGACCATCTACACCAGCTGTTTCTCCCCAGACAACATCCATTCTTTTGGCCTGAAAATTGCAAAACAAATATATAAACAGTGAAAGAAGCAGGCTTAAATTTTTTAAGCAAACAATTAATCTTTATAATGGCACCTTTCCCAATGCAATTCGAGTATAGAGTCTCTGGCGTTGATATCTATTCTGTAAAAGCATAGCAACTCCTTGCATCATAGCCCATTGTAGGAAAAGTTGGACGCCTCTCTGCACAAGATTTAATGAATCATTAATGATTCCAAAGCCATTAAAATTTAACACAATAAAACAAAAATTTACCTGCTTTTGGGAACAATCTGGTTGTCCTTTAATCTCCCATGTGAGACTAACAAGGGCCATAAACATAGCACAATAATGATGGTATATCCACCTGCAAAAGCATATCAGTATCTTTCTGCAGAAATTTGTATGTTCAGTCATCACAATGCCAATTAACTAACCAAGATAAATGATACAACCCCGCATGCTGTGAAACTTTTTTCTGGTTGAAAATAAACACACACAGAGCTAAACTTAATTCAGCTTCATTATTGAAAATAAACTATGGTTGTGATCAACCCAAGTTGAGCATAAAAGGTCAATCACACTTGGTCACTTTATCTTGTAAAGCAGTGCAGAGGAATAACAGCCAATACAAAGGAAAAAAAGATGTAGGGAAGATGGTGTTCATTTACCATGGACGAATATCACTTCCATTTACTCTTAGTATGTTTTCTCGCAATGCCAAACCAGTGTAGAGGAATAACAGCCATGCCTAATAAGCATAAATTCAAAAGTCAAATCT